TTTTTGGAGACAGGGTCTCACTCTGTTATCCAGCCTGGGGTACAGTGACATGATCACAGCTCACTGCAGCCTTGCCCTCCCTGGGCTCAAAGGATCCTCCCACCTCAGCCTCCCAAGTAGCTGGGGCCAAAGGCACAAGCCATTACACCCAGCTAATTTTTTTACTTTTAGTAGAGATGGGGTCTTGCCATGTTGCCCAGGCTGGTCTCGAACTCCTGGGCTCAAGCAATACATCCATCTTGGCCTCCCAAACTGCTAGGATGACAGGCATGAGTCACTGCACCCAGCCCAAACTCTCATTTTTATAGATGAGGATTAAGAGATGTAGACCTTGCTGTCCACTATGGTAGCTACTAGCCACGTACGACTTCTAAATTTTAATTAAAATTCAAAATTCAGTCACACTAGCCAAATTTCAGATGCTCACAACCACATGTAGCTAATGGCTACTGTATCAAGAGTGTGGGTCTAGAACATTTCCATCATTACAGAATGTTCTAGCGGTCAGGGCTGCTCCAGAGCTCATTACGTAAAGGGTAGTCTGCTGATTGGCAGTAGGAACACAGGCGTAACTAGGAGCTAGTTAGAAATAGAGATCTCAGGCTCTACCACAGACCAACAGAGTCAGAATCTACAATTTAACATGATCCACAGGAAGTCTGCATGCAGATTAGAGTCCAAGAAGCCCTAAAGTCATGTGATTTTTTTTTTTTTTTTTTTGAAAAGTCACTACAGCTGATTTTCAGGCCCTTCCCTTGACCCAGCTACTACTTTCCCTTATCATCCTGTGTCCTTCTTATCTCCCTGCCACATTTGCTTTCTCAATATGTTTTATTACAGCATTTCTTTATAAATATTTACAGGCTGGACATGGTGGCTTATGCCTGTAAAATCCCAGCATTCTGGGAGGCCAGGAGTTTGAGACCGGCCTGGGCAACACAGTGAGACCTGTCTCTACCAAAACCAAAAAATATTTACAAAGCAGCCAGGCCACTGAAGCCCTCATAAAACATCCCCTTCTCCATGTCCTCACCCTCATTCTGGTTTGTAAGTGCTTGCTTGGCAGGCTTGTGATAAAGGCCCGCGCCCCTGTGATGGCTGTGGTATTGCTCAGCACTTTCCCTGGGGAACTGCTGTTGGAGGGCTGGAAATTAAAGCCAACATTGAACCCAGTGGGGCACCAGTCATCAACCAAGAGTATGGCACACTTGGTCTTGGTGGGACAATGGCAGCTTTCAGTCTTTAGGCTACAACCCTGGGGCAGAACATGCAGAGCAAACTCTGTACTTGCTTTGTTCAGTGTCATATCTGGCCATCTGACTGGAGAGTACAAAGCAGGTACCGGCAATCTCCAAAAGTAAGCACTGCTCAACCAGGTAACTGGTTAGTAGGTCACAAAAAGGAGTTAATTTGGAGGTAAGGGACCAAGCTGGCCTTAAAACTCTGAGAGGTCTGCTTTCAGGGCACCACCAAAGTTCAGGGAGGTAGTGATGGAGGAAGTCTGGTCCAAGCTGTGGTTCAAGTATGTGGGGCCCTTGGGGTATAGGTTGCAATGACATGTATTGGTCCATTGTCTCCCAAGAAGACACAGTCCAAGGGCTCCAGGGTGGCATAGTGGTCAGGATAGAGTTGCAGGGTTCCATCATTGCTGGCAACACCCAGGGGATAGGTGGATGGCCAATTCTAGCTTGGATTTCTTGCCATTGTCGAAGATGACTCTTCATCAGCAGCAAGGTGAAGCCTGGGCCAGAGCTACTCCCAGAGCTGAGGAAGATCATGAAGTCCTATAGTCCTATGCACTGCTTGTCAGTTTCCGCATAAACTCTAGCATTGGATCAATGATCTCTTTCTCTCTTTTTTTCTTTCTTTTCTTTTTTCGTGACTGTGCAGCAGGCTCCAGGTCCATAAAGACCAAAGTGTTGCAGGAGTTGCTGCAAAATCCTAGGGTTTTATTACTGGACTCAGTACCACTGGGCTTAGACTGTGTTCCAGGCAGCAGGGTCTTCAACAAACACTCTGAGAGGTGTGATTGTAGGGGATCAGTTTCTGCAGACATACTACAAATGTCTGACAACATTCTTGTGGAAGCTAAAGTAACTTCATCTTGGATGCTAATCCACAATGTTGATTTCTGAGTAACCCCAGTTTTGGGAAGGCCTCCAAGTTTTCTACTTTATCTATTTTCCTTTTATAAGAGCATGTGACAGCTGTTCTTACATTGTTATAAAGAAATACGATTGGGTACGGTGGCTCACAGCTGTAATCCCACCACTTTGGGAGGCAGAGGAGGAAGGATCATTTGAGGTCACGAGTTCAAGACCAGCCTGGCCAACGTGGTAAAACCCTGTCTCTACTAAAAATACAAAAAATTAGCCCGGCGTGGCGGCAGGCACCTGTAATCCCAGTGACTCAGGAGGCTGAGGCAGGAGAATTGCTTGAACTCGGGAGGTGGAGGTTGCAGTGAGCCAAGATCACACCACTGCACTCCAGCCTGGGCAACAGAACAAAACTCCGTCTTAGAAAAAAAAAAAAAAAAAACACAAACAAAAAAACAAACAACAACAACAACAAACAAGAAATATCTGGGACTGGGTAATTTATAAAGAAAAGAAGTTTAATTGGCTCATGGTTCTGCAGGCTGGACAGGTGCTGGTATCTGCTTGGCTTCTGGGAAGGCCACAGGGAGCATTTATTCATGGTGGAGGGCAAAGCCGGAGCAGGCATCTTACATGGCTAGAGCAGGAGCAAGAGAGTGAGGCGTAGGGGCCATATACTTTTAAACGACCAGATCTCACAGGAACTTAGTATTGCAAGGACAGCATTAAGGGGATAGTGCCAAACCGTTTACGAAAATTCACCCCCAGGATCTAATCACCACCCATCAAACCCCACCTTTAACTCCAGCCTAGACTGGAGTTGTGGAAGTCACAATTCAACATGAGATTTAGAGAGGACAACATCCAAATTATATCAGAGCACATACTTACCTATCTGCCCTTAAGTCAAAACAACCTTGGTCTGGGAGGGTAACAGCACAGAGATTTACCTGTCTTGCTGCTGTCCAAGACCATGCTTCTGTCCGTAAGTTCCCTAATAAATCACCTTTTACTGACAAGCTGGATTTGTCTGCTTCATTCTTTAGTTTCTCAGCTCCTTCTGCATTTGGAGGTCACTTTGCATATATGGCCCTTTCATAAAACAACCAGGAATTCCTATAAAAATGTTTTTTATATGTTCTGGTCTTCCCTAAAACATTTTATGAATTAGATCAAACACAATAAGAAATTTACTAGTTATTACTATGCCTAAGAGATTATAAGTGGCTTTCCCCCCTCTAAATTACAGAAGACACCATTCCTATCCTAGAGGACTTTCTCGTGTAGTTGGAAAGATACTCGATAATGTTTATTAAAAAGCTGTAACAATTACGCAAGGCCGAGAATCTGACAGCTAGATGGTCGATAAAGATACCTTTACAGTGGGGCTCAGAGGAGAGAAAAAGAGGGAGGAGAGTCAGGGAAGGAGAGCAATGAACTGAGTCTAAAATAAAGGTTAATGTATTCGCATAGGATCTATCAAAACAGGAGCCGTATTTCAACCAATTGTTTTCAAGCACCTAGAACAAAGTGAGCCCATAGTAGATACACATGAAACACAAATGAATGAGTAGTAGTGGGTGGTAGAATTACAAAAGCAGGTTGCACCTGATGGTTAAAAAGCTTGAAAACAGGTCAAGAAATACTTCTATTTAGGTTAGTCATTTCCCCTCAATAACTCTAACTACCTAAACATCGATTTTTTTTTTTTTTTTTTGAGACGGAGTTTCCTTCTTGTTGCCCAGGCTGGAGTGCAGTGGCGTGATCTCGGCTCACCGCAACCTCCGCCTCCCGGGTTCAAGCGATTCTCCTGCCTCAGGCTCCCGAGTAGCTGGGATTACAGGCGTGCGCCACCACGCCTGGCTAATGTTACATTTTTAGTAGACACAGGGTTTCTCCATGTTGGTCAGGCTGGTCTCGAACTCCCGACCTCAGGTCATCTACCTGCCTGGGCCGCCCAAAGTGCTGGGATTACAGGCATGAGCCACCGCGCCCGGCCAACACCTACTCTTTTCACCCTCCCAGGTATCTAGAGGGTTGAGTGGGAGGGAAATTGCTGGTTTGGGACACTACAGTAACACCAGCACCTAGAGCAGTGCTCAACTGACTGAAGGCTCCTGTGAGTCGCCCTCTCCCCCCGGCCCCTCAACCCGCGGGGAAGGGCTGGTGGGAGGCCCGGGAGGCCACACAGCACCTCGATTACGGCACTTCATTCGCCACTGCACCATCTATCGGACACTAGCTAGGCTCTTCCAGGACTGGACGCACCTCCGCCCCCAAGGTGCCACCTGACAGCCAACACTGACAGGATGATGCATGAATACAGTCATTATTCAAATTAGCTATCACCTAACTCAGTCGGGTGAGTCTCACCAGTTCTTCTGGGCTGACTGTCCGGCCCCGCACTCACACCCGGGGGCGTCGGGCGGGAGAACGCGTGCGCGCTGACTGGGGATGGCGGAGGCAAGGCCGGGCACGCGCAAACGCGGGCGCGCCGCCAGGCCGTGCTAGGGCGCGGAAGACGCATGCGCGGGCGGCCCGCGCGGCCTTAAGTGCAGCGCCGACCTGGGGCGGCCCAGTCGGCCTGTCAGCCGGCTTCGAGGCGAGTTCCGGCGCTTGCGCGGCGGCGGCTATGGCGGCGGAGGAGGAGGAGGTGGACTCCGCCGACACCGAAGAGAGGTAAGCGCAGCCGGCAGAGGGCAGGGGGCTTCTATGCGTCTCCGGCGCGCACCCTCCGCGCGGGCCGGGTTAGGGCCCAGCGGGCAGCACCAAGGACTCGCCGCCCGCCTGGCGATGACCGGCCGCTTCCTCGCCCCAGCATGACTCCGCGCGGCGCCCCGAGGCGTCCCGGCGCCGCTCTGCTCGGGATAGGCTCCCCTCAGCGCCGGGGCCGCGAGGTGTCTGAGCCGGACTCCGGCCGCATCGGGAGGCTGCCTTGACCCCGCGCGGAGGGTCCGCCCCGTTGTTGTGTAAGCCGCCCCGCGGGCCGGCGACTGAGCTGGCCGCGGCGGCCGCACCGGCTCGGGCTCTGCCAAGGGACCCGGCCTGTCCCAGTGCGGCCGGCGGGCGGTGCCCGGCAGACCCTGCACCTGACTGCGAGGCGCGGGAAATGACCGGGTGTCTCTGTCAGCCTCCCAGCGCGGCTTCGGTCTACAGGTACTACCTGTGCTCTGTCCGGCCTCGGCCGCTGGGCGATCTTTCCCGTAGCCGTGGGAAGGGGCGGCCCTTCCTTGGGGGGGTATTAGAGGCCCGAATTCGCCCGGGAAGCGGCGGGAGGGGAGGGGTGCCGAGAAGGGGGGAGGGGAGAAGAAGTTAGGGAAGTGGGTGTATGGCTGTGGGTTTCAGATACTTCATAGAAAGAAAGTTAGCGCTTAAAATAGAGATACCACGTTCAAATGTGATAATTCATCTTTCGAATAAAGGTCTTTGGATTGCAAGCTCCACTGTCCCTTATTTGTTTGCGCTTCTGGGATTATTCTGGTTTTACTGGCGAAGTGTGTGTTGCATGTGCCTTAGAAGAACACACATAATGTATAGGAAACTGGAAGTTGGAGGGCAGATGTCTAGTCTGAAACTTTTTGATATACAGGTGTAGTGAGTTTATTCTTTTCTACACCTAAATGACTTCTTGCATTTGTTAGTAGAAGAATAGTAGTTAATGAGTGGAATAATTGTTATGGAGATTATTGCCTTGTTTCTCAAGACCTGTCATTTATATTGGAAAGCAAACTTCCCCCATATATATTTAATTTTTTGACATCGGTTCTACTTCAGACCTCTGGAGAAATTTGCCTAGGAAGCATAACCTAAATGATAGAATATGGAGTACCATGAAGACAGGGATATTTGGAAAGATGTCATGGGGAAAAATTGTGAAATATTAGAAACGAAGTTATTCTCTTGAGTTTTGTTTATTTGTTGAGGTTTGTTGATGAACTTCCTCGTTGCATTGAGGTGAAATGTTGAATGTTATGTGGACGCAAGTAGGAACCTGATTGGTAGGTTGTGTTCTCATCTGATTTGTCACAACATTTTTGACTCTTGACACTACTTTCAGGTGGACTCTTTGGTTTTGATGTAGTGGGACCTGGAAGTCCAGGACACAATCGTGAAAGGGTTTTATGGCTTGGAGTGATGGTTGGAGGTCATTGGAAGTAGATGATTAAAAAATCCTTAGCAGCTGATTAGCCAGTTTCTAGACAGAAGTGGGCTTCCCTGGTATTCTTGGCAATATGCTTTAGCGGTGTCTAGGGACTATCCCTAGAAGTGATCCTGTGAAGTCCAAGGTTGACCCTGTGTGCTGGATGTTATTGTTCCCATTTTGCAGTTGAAACTACCACTGGAAGGGCTGCTGACAGTCTGCCAGCAAGTAGCAGGGCTGGAGTGGAACCCTTTCAGGTGTCTGGATTTAATCTAAGATGCTTATCCTGTATCTCTGCTGCCTGTCACTGGAATTGGGACTCGTGGGATGTCTGGCTCTTGTTTTGAATACAGTTCCCTAACCTTAAAACATTTGAGGTTTAGATAGGGAGATGACATTAACAAAGGAAAGTTATAAAATGGTCATCTGATGGCTTTTTGAATATGATTCTTGTCCTTTACTTTGTGGCACTTAGTGAAGACAGGCATACTGGGATCCATTTTGCTTTCAACATCCAACCCCTTTCAGCTGCAGAACAGTTGAGAAAGCTAAAAGTGATGAGAGTAGAGTAGACTTCTGTGAATTGCTTTAAGTTATCCTAGAGAATGATTAAGTGACAATTGAGTTGAGAGGAAAGCTGTCACAGAATTGCCCAGTTGCAGGGTAGACCATAAAAAAGGTGATTTGCAGTTGTGCGCTGGAGTTGATTTGTACCAGCAAGCCATTGCTAAATTTTCAGGAATTTTGCCAACCGTTGGCAGCTTGAAATTGGCCATGGTGGGAGTATTTACGCCATGGAAATCATCAAATGCTATAAATAAAGTATAAATAAGGGATTTTTCTCTCCCCTCCCTGCTTCAGTCTGTTTGCTAGCTCCCCTCTGGGTTTACATTAGACCGTGAATATAGGTCTTTGCCTTGGAGATAGGAGAGTGGATTTCTCTATCTAATCTTTTTAAAAACTGGCAAGATATGTGCCTTTCTGCTGCCTTCTCTCCTTCCCAAACCTTTGCCACCTGACATCTTAAAAATCACAAAACTTTTCACTGCCACATCCCAATGGCCTTCTAGTTTTTTCAGTACTTCTTCTTGGGTCCTTTTTGGTGTTTGTTACTGTAATGATAGCTACTACTATTTGAAACTCTTATTAGACATTCTAGGTCTTAATGACATTTTGCCTTTTATCTTACCTGAGAGCAACAATACTTTTATTCATTTCTCCCTTTTTTTTTCATTCTCTAAATATAGTCATTTTCCAGGATTCTGTCATCACCCTTGTTTTTATTTTTTGTCTTGTTTACTTAAACTCCTTGAACTATCTCGTCTGTGGAGATGACTCAGATCTCATTTTCTTTCTGGAGTCCTCTTCTGTACTCTGGTAATGTTTCCAATTGTCAGATGTTGGTGACTGATTCCTCAAATTTAACATGTCCAGACCATGATCTTATTTTTACCTTCCTGCTCCTAAACGATATAAAAAGCTCAGTTCTTCCTCTTGAAACATTATATTGGCTTAAACATTGCCTTGACGAATTGTTAGGTTTTTAGTCTAATCTCATGGTTCTGTAATGCCCACTCCTGATTGTGAGTTATTAAAAAAAAAATCATGTGGTGAGATGATTCATTAAAACTGATTGTTCAGTTTGAGACCTAGGATTTTTAGTTTTTTTCTCTTTATTATCTAGTGAATGAACTTATTTTAGAACTGATGCAAAGAAATGTAACTCACTTGTTAAGCAGACTACACATGAGGCTTCTTCAAGTGTGTTTGATAATGAGGTCATATAAGTGACTCTAAAATGGTTTGTTTACTGTGTGAAGGAAGGTAGGAAACAATGGGGAGATAAGTGTTACCAGCACATGACTTGTCTAAAACACTTATACTACCACTCTGTGTCTTTAAAAGTTACAGGTTAGAAATCGGTGGGGGGGGCAGTTAAAAGAATATTAATTAGTGTGTTAACATATATTAGAGGGCCTGGGTTGTCGTTGATAATTTGAATCACTTAAGTATCATTTATCCAAAATAAAATGGCATGTTAGTCACTTAAATTGTAGCTGTATGAGACCATATTCTTTTTTTTTTTTTGGAGACAAGTTCTTGCTCTGTCGCCCAGGCTGGAGTGCAATGACACAATCATGGCTCACTGCAGCCTCAACCTCCTGGGCTCAAGCAATCCTGCCATCTCAGCAACTTGCCCTCCAGCCCCCGTATTCCCCCTCCAGGTTGCTGGGACTACAAGCATGTGCCAGGCGGCTGGTCTTGACCTCCTGACTGAGCTCAAGCAATCCTCCCACCTCAACCTCCCAAAGACCTCTTTTTTCTTTTCTTTTTCTCCTTCCCAAGAATAGAATTTAAAAAGTAAATTCCCAAGAAAGGTCTTTATTTACCCAGGTGTTACGGTTTCCAATTTGGAAGTTTTTAGTCATTGGTTGAGGAAGTATCTCAGATAAATATAAGTGTAAATATAAATAAATATATATATATTCATACCTGTAATTAATTTGGATATTTATAATAAAAATCAAAGCCTCATGGTTTCTTTAAATGAGATAGAATACTGTGCTTAGGTTAGTTTATCAAGAGCAATAATAAATTTATATGATTTTTCTCTCTCAACTGTACTAGAATAGGAATGGAGGCCATTTTAAACAAAATTTTAATGAAATCCTCTTTACTTATAACCTAATTAGAAATGTTATTTAAGTGGCCAAGAGTGTGTGGAAACTGGCCAGATTTCTGCATATTTTCTTCAGAATCTTTGAAACCTCTTTCACTGTTTCATAATATTTATAGATTGTGCAATTCAGGTTTGGTAATAGTATAGATAGTCAGATATGTTAAAGAACAAAACAGAGATTACCAGGAAACTTAAGTGTTGGTGGTATAGGGTATAAGTACAATGTAATTTTTTTTTAACAGATTAGGTAAAAAGTTAATGGAAAGAGTGGTGTCTGTCTCTCACTCAGGACACTTAAAGTCAGATTCTTAGGTAAAATATACTCTATTAAAATATGTTAAGCACATCTTACTTGGCTTTCCTTAGAATTGTCACCTCTGATGTGATCTTTTATAACTTTTCTTACTCAAAAGTCTGCTCACTAAAAAGATTCTCAGTTTACACTACAATGGTTATAAAACAAGGATCCTTTTTTGTTTTGTTTTGTTTTTGTTTCTGTGATTAGATAGATGCTTTAGGCCTTGTATCCTTTGCCTTGCTAATAAGGTAAGTGCCCAACTGATGGGGCTGTGTAGAAAACTTTTTGGCTTGCATTGGTAAGCTTTCCCCATGTCATAGATGCTTACTATTAGAAAGCTATAGTTCCTGTGGTGAATGGCTTTTCTTTGTATTATAGTTGACACTTTGGTCACTGTTGAATTTAGGCCTCAGTGATGGATGATAGTGTTTATTGCTTATCTCCTTAAATAAAATAGAGAAGTTAGGTTTTGCTTTTCTATTTATTTTCCAAAGCTATGAGAAAAAGGCATTGAATCTAGTTTACTGTTTTATAGGTGGTCTATGTGAATTTAGTTGTTACCTTGAATTTTGTGACCTCAGAAGAATGGCAGGATATCTGACAAGCTTCAGTCCTGTGTCCTTAGTTCCAGTCTTCTATATATTTAAACCTAGGAATGCTGAACAACACTGAATGACATAGGATTCCACTGGGGAGGGGGCAAAGGGTCTCTTTGAAGGTGAGATTACTTTACCCCAAAGACAGGAGGTAGAGTTGGATGGGTAAGTTTTAGAGGGTTGAAGCAATAGAGGTTGCAAGGTAAGGTATGGGACCTTTGAACAAACAGGAATCAACTAAAGGATGGAAAAGATAGGCCCTTGCTTTTTACTCATTGGATGTGTTCCTTGGAGCCTATTATATGTATAACACTTAATCCTGTAGAGTGTCTCAAAGAAGTAGAGGATAGTTTCTGTAAAACATTTAACCATCTGGTTAAAGTAAAACTGGACAGAAACATCAGGGCTTAGGGGAAGAGTGCTGTCTTTACAATTCCATTAAGGGTGAGAATATCTTGCTATGTTTTGTTAAATATATATTTTTCTGTTAGAAAAAAACCCACTTTAAAAAAATCACCTGTTTTGATGAAGATGCTTCTTTAAAAACCTGAAAAGAGTTGGTGCCTCTTCTTATGGTTGAAGATGTAATTTTTTAGTATAAAATGTAATGTAAGCTTACAAACATGAAAACATGTTTTGCCCCTTCTCTGAGTTGAGCTGGTCACTAGGAGGGAAATCCATGGACAGACAGCCCCATTGTTTGAAAGCTGGTTTTGTGGTAAGTGGTAAGTTGATGGAGGTAGGCATGATTCTTCCATTACAGGCTGGTATGTAACTTTTTAAACTCTGGTGCTTTGTACATAGTAGGTATTCAGTGTCTGAATTATTTCTTGAATGTTGTTTCTTAAAAAAAGCATCCTTTTTAAATGCAAAGAATGTATTTGTGTTTTCTTTGCCCCAATTTGTCTGTGATATCAGTTGGAGCAATAGTAGATTATACTTCATTTCACTGTAATTTTTTTTTCAATTGACCTCTGATTCTCTCTGGCAAATAATTGTGATGTGGTTTGAGGGATGTTCGTTTAAGACAATGGATGAGATTGAGTTGTAAGTAATTTCATGTTGGTACTAGTTCATATTTTTATGGTTAAATATAGACCTAATGTCTGGTCAAGAACAAAAGAGCTTCATCTTGATGATAGTTTATTGTTTTTAACCTCTAAAAATCATGAGTTCTTTTATTTTAGTGGCCTGTGTATTAGTCCATTCTCATGCTGCTATAAAGAAGTACTTGAGACTGGGTAATTTACAAGAGCTGTGCAAAGCCATAGAGACACATAATCATGTGAAATTTTGGGAGCTATGAGGTACTGGAAAAAGTACAATGTATAAAAGAAAAGAAAAGATGGGATGGAGGTAGGCTGTGGATGGATTGCAAAGTACCTTTTGTGCAGGTCCAAGAAAATATAGACTTTATCCTGTAGGTAATGGACAACTCTTCAGACATTTTAAGGAAGGTAGTCATTTGAGAAAAAAGCACTTTGGAGTGGCTCAGAATCAAACTCAAATCTCTGCTTGTGTCACTTACTTACTAGCTGTATACCCTTGGACTTGGTGCTTAACATTTCTGAACTTCAGTTTTTACATCTATGAAATGGGGATAATTTGGACTGAGATCTCCTGGATTGTGAGTGACTTAATCGTTCAGCAAACATTATTTATTGAGTACCTGTTATACATAATAGCCAGATAAATTCTACAGGGAAGGGAAGTATTGTAGGATGAATGTACAAAGGTTAGAAAGCTGGGTGTTGGATCACAACACTTCCAAAACTTAACATATTTTCCTACTCACACCTATTCTAACTCTTGTGTTGTCTGTCATTATAGTGGTACCCTAAGAGAGATGCCTGGGAATCCTTATTATACCTTCTTTATATCCAACCAATTATCAAATCCAACCTGTTTTCCTTTTTAAATATTCTGTGACTACATCTTCTTATCTCTATGCCTGTTGCCAAAGCCTTGGATTGGGCCCTTACCTCTCATCTGGACTCTGCAGTAGTTTACTTTTCCTCTTCTAATTCATTTCTTTTTCATCAGAGAGTTCTCATTTTAAATAATACCAGTCATGTACCCAACCCTTGCTAACTGTCAAATGACTGCTGAAGCTCTACATTATGTCAGGTTATTACAATAAGCTTTTGGTTTGTAGCTGCCAGGCCAGGAGTTGAGGCTCACCCTCTCCTTTGTTGGCTACAAGCAAAGTATGTCAGCTGCAGTCCCCCCAAGCCTTTCCTCGCTAGTTGCCTCAGATCTGCGTCCTTGTTCTTTGTTGTGCTGTCTTCCAATGGATGCTTTGGTCATTCTATTCATCTACTGTTTGCTGAAACCCAAAGCTTTTTTGTATTTCTATTAACAGTTAACCAGTTCACCCCAAGGAGATTGTACACAGTCCAGCCCCTGACATTTGTGTTAGGGGTATGTTACTACTCATATGAGATTTGAAGCCTTTTTTCCCCCCAAATATGATAGATCTCAGATTTTAATAAGGCGTCTCTTTTCTCAACCCCTATAGAGGTACCTTTTATATTCACTGTGAAACTGTCATTCAAATGAATCTACTCCTGGTCTTTAACTTTTTTTGCACTTCTACTCTAATAAGAGGCTGTCTTGCAGTGGGGAGGAATGTATTTTTTGTGTTTTCTTGTTCTGCCCATTTTATCTTCTTTTTGTTTATTTGGAATCTGACTATCCATGAATAAGGTAGACTTTGAGATCTACTTGTAAGTACACAGGCTGAAGTTGAATATCTGTATCCCAGTACTTACCACCATGTTTTGTGCATGTTAGGTCACTTTTGTCACACATAGCTTCACCATCAAACAGGTAGTAAATTTCCTGTGCTGCCTTTGTTCTGTGCATGTGACAGTTGGTAGTTGAGAAGAGCATGAACTTACCTATTTGTATTTTGTTTTTGGTGCTCTAGGTCAGGATGGCTAACTGGCTGGCTCCCTACGTGGTGCCCTACGTCTACATTACACCTTAAAGAAGCTGAAGAGAAGATGTTAAAATGTAAGGCTTTCTCCTTGTAAGTTAAATGAACTGTGTACTAAGATAGGTCCGATATATCTCATTGCCCTGAAACTAGAGATAAGATTTTGTGGTGTGTTCATTGTCAGCAAGATAACTTTTTTTCCTTTTCCTTGTCATTAGAAAGTACAGAAATGAATGTTGGGGGCTGGCAGGTAGGAGTTCTAAAACTTTTTGGTCTTGGGCCCCTGTTATACTCTTGAATTAGTAAGGACCCCAAGGAGATTTGTTTATGGGCTTATTATCAATATTTACCATTTCTAATTCAATTAGAAATTAAAATTGAATAATCAAAAATGTTTATTAATTTCTTTAAAAATAATGGTAACAAACCCATTACAGATTAAAATAAAGTTTGTACCAAAAAACAAATAAATACTTTCCAAAAAATATGTAATGAAAAGAGTAACATTGTTTACATGTTTACAAATCTCTTTTATGTCTAGCTTGACATAAGGTTGCTGCTTCTGCTTTCAGTCTGATGGGTAATCACATATGTGACTTCTGGAAGACTGTATACCTACTAGAGAATGAGAGTGAAAAATATAAAGTCTTAGTATTATAAGTATTATGATGAAAATAGTTTTGACTTCCTGGATCCCCTCAAAGAGTCTCAGGGACACCCCCCTGACTATGCTTGAGACTATGCTTTGAGAACAGATTCTAGGTGTTTCAGGGCATGCAGCCTTGTATAGTGAAAGTACTAGACTGGACCCAGGTAACTTGGTCTAGGCCCAGATCTGCCACAAAATCTGGGACAAGTCACTTTGCTGAGCTTCTTATTTCTTGTAAAATGAAGGGGTAGGATTTTTGTAAAATGAAGGGGTCTTTAGAATTCCTTCTAGTTCTAGCATTCTAGGATTCTGTATTTATAGTGGTGTGGAAGCCCTTTTTTTTCCTTCTTATGAGCACTAAAATTTATCCAAACTTGTACTATCAGGGCATTCCAAGGTATCTGTGGGTATAGTTCTAAGCAGTGGTATTTATTGTGCAATTTTGTTTTGCTGATTCTACTTAAAGGAGTGGATTAAGTAGTACCGTTCACATTCATGTGTTATTTTTGTATGTAGGTGCAGATGTTTGTACATGTCTGTTTTTCATTCTCTTTACCACTAATGGATTTGTTTGTGCGTTTGAATGATTCAGGAGTCAGTGACCATAACTGTATATATCCTTAGGAAGGGATAATTAGCCATCTTACATGAATTTTTTTTTTTTTTTGAGACGGAGCCTTGCTCTGTTACCCAAGCTAGAGTGCAGTGGCACAATTTCAGCTCACTGCAACCTCTGCCTCCTGGGTTCAAGCAGTTCTCCTTCCTCAGCCTCCCGAGTAGCTGGGATTATAGGCACCTGCCACCATGCCCAGCTAATTTTTGTATTTTTAGTAAAGACGGGATTTCGCCATGTTGGCCAGGCTAGTCTCGAACTCCTGACCTCAGGTGATCCACCCGTCTCTGCCTCCCAAAGTGCTGGAATTACAGGCGTGAGCCACCACACCTGGTTATTACACAGATTTTTAACATAATGAACTTTTATTCCATGTACTTGGGTAAACTTGCTCTCTACAAAACTGAGAAAGTTGTCATTGTGATTTACCAAAATAAAAAAATTCTTATCAGGAGATAAAAAGAGGTGCTAGATTCTCAATTCATGCATCTAACAAACATGTTGATTCCCTTCCTTTTGGTTCTAGGGATGCAAATAGGAATGTGAATTGGTCTCTGCTTATCAGACATGAAAGTAAGCTACTGTGGAATGAGTTATCTGATAGTTTTACAGATGGTTTTTATGGGAATACACAAGACGTATGTGTTCAAAATGCTGAAGTGGTTTGGCTTGGTACTTAAGCCAAAGTAGCCCCTTTTCTAAACTAATGGTATTTCCCCTAACTTGAGGGCGTGTGCTCTGTTAATAATCTGAATGAATGTTAGGTTTCTTCTTTGCTGCCACTATATGGATACAAAACCTGAGATTATTTCTTTGGTTAAAAGGCAGAAACTCCTGTTTCTTCAGTGTTTTGTCTACTGTATATGAATATGCATAAATAATTAAGGGGTATATCTGAAATGCAGCTATTCAGTTGATAGTTAAATATAAGTGAATTTCAAATTTAATTTCATTTTTAGGCAATTTTTGGGAGTGTTTAAAGTATTTAGTCCCACAGCATTGAAGGTAAAAAAGAGCTTTGATCTTTAAAATTGTGACTATTTGCTTTTTCTGGGAGATTACTAGAGTTGGACCCAAGTTACCTGGTGTGTCATGCTGAGGAGTTCCTACAATACTTTGTCAACTTTTTTTCTACTGAACTTTGAAATGACTTAATATTTCACTTATGTGTTTAATATAGATACCATTAATCCTTCCCTAGGTTCATGATTACTTTTAAAGGAAAAATGATGCCTTTGAGTCTGACTTCAACTCAAAGTTAACAAAAGAATACCTCCTTGAAATTGTAGGACACTTGACAGTATTCTACAAATTGTCTGCAAAGCTAGAGACCTTAAAATAATGGATTCGGTGGCCACTAAGTTCCTGTTCACTTCTAGGAGTATAATACCCTCATTTGATAGATGTGGAAAGAAGTTAGAAGGTAATATGACTTGCCAAAGACCTTGACCACAGGTTACTTGAGTTTTGTCTGAGGTAGGTCTTCCCCCTTAGGTTTGAAACATAGTCATTTAGAATTATTTACTTCAATAAAATGTGTACTTTTAAAAAATAGCTGGCAATAAAAGCTAAAATCATGAGATTGGATACTAGATGGTTTGTAATTTTTGATTGCTCTGAGAATGCTTCCCTTCTCAGAAGTAATAAAATGAAACAGAATTTCTTTTTTATGTTTTCATTAGGTGTCCCTTGCACATACAAAAAAGAACCTGTTCGTATATCTAATGGAAATAAAATATGGACACTGAAGTTCTCTCATAATATTTCAAATAAGACTCCACTTGTCCTTCTACATGGTTTTGGAGGAGGTCTTGGGCTCTGGGCACTGAATTTTGGAGATCTTTGCACCAACAGACCTGTCTATGCTTTTGACCTATTGGGTTTTGGACGAAGTAGTAGACCCAGGTTTGACAGTGACGCAGAAGAAGTGGAGAATCAGTTTGTGGAATCCATTGAAGAGTGGAGATGTGCCCTCGGATTGGACAAAATGATCTTGCTTGGGCACAACCTAGGTGGATTCTTGGCTGCTGCTTACTCGCTGAAGTACCCATCAAGGTAAGTGGTGGTGACAGAAGAGTGGGATTAAAACTGTGCTTCCAAGTACCAGACTCTAGTTCTCATCTTTGGTGGTTTTAGTGTCGAGCCTTACAAGGCAGACATTCTCTTAAAGGACCCTATAGACCACACCACAACTGATGACCAATATAGTAGCTGAAATAATCGTGTCAGATCTTCCTGTTACATGTACTACATGTTATTAGGCTTGGGAAAGGGCTTTCTATTTGTTAAACTTAGAACTGTAGAAACTTTAATGTATAATTTTAAGCCACAAGTAAAAATTATTTGTTACTATTATCGTTAAATCTATGGATCCAGCAGGCTTTGTCTAATGTTTTCTAAGTTATAGTAAGCTGTAAGGGGAAACCAGAAGGTTAGAAGATGTAGGTACTAGTGCTAGCTTTATGACTTAGAGCAAATCACTTAACATCTAACCTTTAGTTTTCTTTTATCTAAACTATAGAAAATATAACTTCATAGCATATATCCCAGGGTTTTTTATTATACCATACCCTAACCTTTCTCATTATAAAACATTGAATTAATGAATATTTGCTTCAAAGTCTTTCTAGCATCATCTCCTTTCTTTGTCTTTTTTTTTTTTTTTTTTTTTTTTTAAGAGAGAGAATCTCGCTCTGTCACTGAGGCTGGAGTGCAATGGTGTGATCTTGGCTCACTGCAACCTCCGCCTCCCAGGCCCAAGCGATTCTTCTCGAGAGGCCTCAGCCTCTCGAGTAGCTGTGACTACAAGTGCATGCCACCACACTCAGCTAATTTTTGTAGTTTTAGTAGAGATGGGGTTTTGCCATGTTGGCCAGGCTGGTCTTGAACTCCTGACCTCAGGTGATCCACCCCACTTGGCCTCCCCTCTGTGATCTGGGATGACAGACCTGAGCCACTGCACCCAGCCTCTTTACCTTATTTTTAAATGCTGTTTTCTATTATTCATGTTACTACTGTGAGAGAAGGTCACATTTAAGTGCTAAGAAAACAGGAGAAACATTCATCTTTTGGAAAGAAACAACAAAAAATGAATATAGCATTTTTGTGTTGCCAGTGTATTTTTCCACTGGACTGATTTTTAAATCCAAATTTGCAACTGATTTTGACTTTGAGGTCTGTGAGTGAGACATGGGATGATGGTCATTTCAGAGTCTCTGTATATACCTATAAGATCGCCCCATTGCATAACTCTGGGTGTGTGTTCAACACAGAATTTGATGGGTGAAGCAGCAGCCCTGTGTCCCTGAGGTTCTCTTCCTCTGGAACAGCCACTTTTTCTCTATAGACTCTTTAAACTTTAGCATTTACACCTGATTTTTCTGATCTCATGGTCCTATATGTGCTAGACAGTAATAGTCCTGTCAACTGGTGGACCTGTTCTTTAAAAAGAAACGCAAATTTTCTTCTCCTGGTTGGCATTTTGGGGTTACTTTCTTTCTTTTCTTTTCTTTTCTTTTTTTTTTTTTTTTTTTTTTTTTTTGAGCCAGAGTCTCACTCTGTCGCCCAGGCTGGAGTGCAGTGGCGCGGTATCTCGGTTCACCACAACCTCCATCTCCCGGGTTCAAGCAATTCTCCTGCCTCAGCCTCCCGAGTAGCTGGGATTACAGGAGCCTGCCACCATGCCAGCTAATTTTTGTATTTTTAGTAGAGACAGGGTTCTACCATGTTGGCTAGGCTGGTCTCAAACTCCTGACCTCAGGAGATCCACCTGCCTTGGCCTCCCAAAGTGTTGGGATTACAGGTGTGAGCCACCACACCCGGCTGGGGTTACTTTCTTTTATTGTGTCTTACTGTTAGTGACAAACACCTATCTGCATTTATGGTGAAAGGAGAAGGAAGTGGATGCCTTTCTGGTACAAGTCAACAGGGCTATTTGTGGGAGTTGAACTTCCTTTGTTTTTTATCAAGTGTGTATTATGTCTGTGTCTGTCTTGTGGTATTTATTCTCTGGAGATGTGACATGGAACTCTGCAGGCTAGACCTTGGTCATTAAACCCTAAGTCTTAGAATCCTGACCCTTCATAGCTCTCTACTGATAAGGTCAGTTGGTAAGAGTTTCAGTTGGTAAGAGTTTCATTTTCAATTGTGAACTGCTCTAAAGAAATAGGGGGTGAAGCTTCAGGGATTCAGAAGGGAATCAACACTTTAAAAACAGCTATAAAAGAGAATAGCAAAAGGTATCTAAAAACAAAGCTAGTGATTCCTGCATTGGATTGATTATATTTTAGAAAATGGTTTTTGAATGTTTGTGTCTAATGCTAGAAATAAAACTAGAGTACTGTATCAGGACCAAGAATCATAAGTAGTAGCAGTAGATGGATATGAGAATGCTTGAATTAATTAGCCTGTCTAAATTTGACTGGTTGCCAACAAAATTTTGAACTGTACGGAGTTTGTTGAATATTCAAATTTATATTCTTAACTGCATAAAACTTAAATTATTAAATACAGGTTAATTTCAAAATAATGATGTTTTCTGGATTTTCAGATATCTCCAATCATGATTATGTCCAGTCAGTCAGAACACCATGGTTGGCACATAGTGGCTGCCTAGTAAATATTTCTTGAATAGGTGATTTTGAAAAAGAGAATTATAAGCTAAGTTCACCTTTTAGCTTACAATTTTTTGTTCTTTTCTCTGTTCTTCTCTTTCCATTTTGCACAGAAGTATCAAGAGATAAGAACTGGTCATGTCATATCTTTCTAATTTATTTTTGGGAGAAAAATTAGTTTCAGATATGCAAGCATAAGCAGGCAAAGATTTCAGTTTTATGCCTTTTGCCCAGTTAATCTACATGTTAAGTTACTATGTCATAAAAACAGGTTACAGTGGAAATAAAGAGATCATTCTACATGTATGTGTGAGAGAAAGGTATTAGCATGTTTCTTCTAACATTTACACACACATATATGTATATATAACATACATGAATATTTTACAGAATTAAACAAATTGACCAGCCATTTAAACCAACAACTTTAGTTAGTTTAGAAGTGTGTTAAATCTACTAAATAAAAGTAAAATTTTATAGTTTATTTTTCCCTATTCTAATAGACCAGATTAATACCCCATTGTAGCATATAATATAGGAAGACTGGAATTAACAATCTCACGGGCTTCCCCTTCTCCCTTGCTTTTTTCCTTCATTGCTGTTCAGTATGGCTTCCCTGGAAAGCACTTCTCTTTAAATGGAGAGGACAGGGGAAAATGAGTAGCTCTTGTCTTTTCTGCAAGGTGCATCGTCTCCTTTGGTGCCCTTTGGTCTTGCTGTCCACATGTTTATTCATATTACTAATAATGTTGCTTATATTTGTTAACTTTTTATTAAAAGGAATTTTTTTCTGCTTGATCCTGGTTGGGCAAATTTGTACAAATTTACATAGATGATCTGATAGTTAATAGTTCAGTAGACTCACAGATCCAAACATTAAACAGGATTAAACAGGACTGAATACTATAAGTGTTCACCATTATAGCAAACTTCATATTAAGTGATGTTTAGTGTTTGGTGTGTCTTGAAGTTGGCATTCCCACTAAGCAGATGGGGTAGTTGTCAGGGTTGCCTTCTGTGTGATCTGGAATGTTTCACCTGAGCTGGAGAAGCTTCTTTGCAGCACACACATGCTTTCTCTGGTGCAACAGAGCAGTCCGCTTGGTATCAACAAACAGTTACCGAACTACATACTCAGTGCTCATCCAGCTTGCTTTTGATCCAGTAGCATTTTTATTATGCTGTCATGAGATTGAAATGAATCTTTGAGTTTCAGAAAGACTTTTGGTGGGAGTGGGGGGAACGCTAAGAGGAGGGAAAAAGTGGTCTGGAGATCAAATGAAATTCAGATCATTTCTTACACTCACTGTGCCTCTTTTGTCTCTTTTTTTTTGATAGTGGACTTTGAGAATGTTACTTTTTTTTTTTTTTTGGAGATAGGGTCTTACTCTGTTGCACAGTCTGGAGTGCAGTGGCACAATCGTGGCTCACTGCAGTCTTGACCTCCTAGGCTCAACAATCCTCCCATGTAGCTAGTACTACAGGTGTGCCACCATGCCTGGGTAATTTTTTAAATTTTATGTAGAGATGGGGGGTCTCACTATGTTGCCCAGGCCGGTGTCAAACTCCTGGCCTGGAGTGATCCTCCGGCCTCCAAAACTGCCAGGATTACAGGCATGAGCCACCGCACCCAGCTGATAATGTTATTTTGTTCTTTGCTTCCTCAGGTGTTGCAAATGTAATCTTTATTTTTTTCTTTTAAGTAAAATGACAGCTCCTTACTTTCTGTTTAATGCATGGAGGGAAAAAACACAAAAACAACGTTGTTTTATTTGTTGGGACTTAGTGTTCCAAGCCATACCTACTTCAGTCTTTGTCTTTTATGGGCAGCTCCATTCTTCCGTTTGTTACTTTTATAGGACAGTTTGAGGAGAAGAATGAAAATGCCTAGTTTAATGCACTTGTTTAAGAAGGATTCTTACTCTAAAGAACAAATAAAAGCTGATCAATTTTTGCCAGCATTTGGATTACAGGCGTGAGCCACTGTGCCTGGTCCAGTTTTTCTCTTTTAATTTTCCTTTCCTTCTGGCCCCTGCTGCTCAGGACCCCATTAAAAAGACTATCTGTATTTTGAAGATATTTGTTACAAACTAAGGAAAAGGAGATTATAGAAACTTTAACTTAGAAAGTGTTTAGCAAAGAGATCTATTCCGAGTTACATTAGAGTAAGTTTTGACTAGTCTTTATTTCTCTACTGAAAAGTTTTTAAATAATTTTATCTTGAATACTTTTCTTTTGCCTGGCTCTGTCTTCTGATTGTACAGAATGGAGTTGAGCAATTTTTGTTGGCCCTCTGCTGTTCTAGGAAAAACTGTTCTACTTGATTCGAAGTTGAAGGTATTTATTTAGTTTTTTGTTATCCAGGCCTTCCCTTTTCTCTCTCCGGTGGCTTGGAGCCAATGGGAAATACCTGGGGCTGACTTCATTTTGCAAATGCCTCCTTTGTGCATTGACTAGCGTTCTTTCTGATTATTTTCCTTAAATTCCTTTATACATTTTGATCCTAGGTCTGATTGTTCTCCTTTCTTTGCTGCTTTTTTTTTTTTTTTTTCCCCTGAGACAGTGTCTTGCTCTGTTGCCCTGGCTGCAGTGCAGTGGCACGATCTTGGCTCACTGCAACCTCCGCCTCTGGGTTCAAGCAATTCTCGTGCCTCAGCCTCCCAAGTAGCTGGGATTACAGGCGTGCACCACCACGTCTGGCTATTTTTTTGTATTTTTTGTAGAGACGGGGTTTCACCATGTTGGCCAGGCTGATATTGAACCCCTTGCCTCAAGTGATCCTCCTAACTCAGCCTCCCAAAGTGTTGGGATTACAGGCATGAGCCACCACGCCTGACCTGACTGTTGTTCTTGTTGCATTATTTCCGATTGGTGGCTGTTTTTAAATCTCATGAAGGTCAGGCTTATCTACCCTTGTTAGCATTTAGACCAAGTGAAATCAGGTCCCAGTGTGTTGGTACAGGTATTGTCCACTGCTTTGCCCTTAAGGGTGTACTCTGCTCACCATCTTCAAACTCAAGGCCAATTCTAATGATTAACGTTAAGAAGAATGCCTTTTTATATTACAAAACTGATGAGCCGTTCTGTTGTTCCTGCTCTGCTGGTTCTTTATTTTTCTTGTGGTTTAAACCAGTCTCTGGTTCTTGACAAGGATGTCTAATAGGATGACTCGCATGTGCTGTCTGGTTGGACCCATTCTTTACCCTAAATGTGAACTAACAATCCCAGCAGGGAACCCTCTCTGGAATATTAAAGAGTAGAGTTTAGCTAATTATAGTTTAGATGTACATTAAAGCCCAGTAACTCCTATCAAGTGAGGAGATAATATTTTTACTAGAAGTAGAGGTTAGAAGAGAGCCTGGGACCTTGGTCTGGTGCAACGTTGTAGTCACCTGTGATCAAGCTCTTCTGAAGAATAAATACTTGTCTTTCCATGTTCCCTGGAATAAATTCTACTCTTGTAGTCTTCCTAGTCTTCCTATTCTTGCTACTGTAACTAGCTTACATTTACTGAATATTTACCTTTTGATAGCCACTAACCTGAGTGCTTTGCGTGGTCTATCTTATTTAAAATACCTAAAACCAAAAATAAGGAACAATTATTTTCTGGGGTTTTTACATGTAGTAGAAGCAGATGATATATAACTACAGTTAACTACAGTTTAGATGTTGTAGAGTTTTTAAAAATTATGTTCAAACTTTTTTTACTATAGCCCTTCTATATTGTTTGGATTAGAAAAATACAATTGTATCACCCCACAAAACTTGTTTCAGACACCCATGCACACATATATTAATATAACTTTGTGGCCAATATTCAATGCTTATGATTTATTTTTCTGTTCCAGACAGTATAATTTTATTTAGAAAAGACTAGACTGGTTGTTGACTATCTAAATGGATTTTGTTACTGAATAATGAGATTAATAAATAGGAGTGATGTTCTGATGTCATCTGGGGGACCAGAAAAATCAAGTTGGATATGCTTATGCTATGATTATACTTTATAAAATTTGTATATGCTTAATAGACTAGGACCAAAAGAAAACATGGAAAAGCATATTAATCCAAATGTTTGCCAAGCATCTGCCACGTGCTAAGCCTCATACTAGGTTATGAAGACATAGAACTGATCAATTGTAGGGACAGTAGAACTGAGCAATTGTAGGGACATTCACTCCTTTTCAAAAAGGAACTGAAAGGTCATCTGCCTTAGTATATATACTTTGCATACTTTGTTAAACTGGCATTTTCACCTAGGGATGAAATTTTGAAGATCGTATTTAAAAGGCAAACCAGAACTAAGGCAAAAACAGTCACCTAGAGACAGATGAGACTTCTGTCAAGTTTTCCTTTGTCCTCCTGTTTTTGGGTTAGCAGGTCAGAAAGAGTTTAGAGCAGACTGAGCAAGATCCATTAACAAATTTGTGACAAAAATTTAACAATTGTTTAGGGTAGGGTATGTTTTAATGAAGAGTTCATTTTTCTCTTTGGGAAGTAAATCAATAAATAATAGTGGCTGTTTCTTAACATGAATCTTTGCTGCTTTCAACTAGGTGGCTGTCTCGTTAGTTCCACTCATACCCATTAGGCCTCTTCCTTCCCCTACCCCACATCTTATTGTGGGCTGTAATTAAAGGAATTTAGGGCCGGGTGCAGTGGCTCAGGCCCATAATCCCAGCACTTTGGGAGGCCAAGGTGGGTGGATCATGAGGTCAGGAGTTTGAGACCAGCCTGAGCAACATGGTAAAACCCCGTCTCTACTAAAAATACAAAAATTAGCTGGGCGTGGTGGTGCATGCCTGTAATCCCAGCTACTCAGGAGACTGAGGTAGGAGAATCACTTGAAACTAGGAGGCAGAGGTTGAAGTGAGCTGAGATTGCGTCACTGCGCTCCAGCCTGGGCGACAGAGTGAGATTCCATCTCAAAAAATAAAAAATAAAAAGGAATTTAGGAAGTGGTCAAAATATAAGAGAGAGTCTTTGCCATTAAAAAACAAAGCAAAGGCCAGGCGCGGTGGCTCAAGCCTGTAATCCCAGCACTTTGGGAGGCCGAGACGGGCGGATCACGAGGTCAGGAGATCAAGACCATCCTGGCTAACACGGTGAAACCCCGTCTCTGCTGAAAAATACAAAAAACTAGCCGGGCGCGGTGGCGGGCGCCTGTAGTCCCAACTACTCGGGAGGCGGAGGCAGGAGAATGGCGTGAACCCGGGAGGCGGAGCTTGCAGTGAGCTGAGATCCGGCCACTGCACTCCAGCCTGGGCGGCAGAGCCAGACTCTGTCTCAAAAAAAAAAAAAAAAAAAAAAAAAACCAAGGCAAAACACTCATTTCCAACCTCTTTCTGATACACTATTAGAAAATGTTCTCATATGAAATTTTTAGGCTGCGAAGGCATACTTCATAATTATATGAAACTCATTTATCACATATCTTCATACATCTTTATGGTTATAGTCTACATATGTTCTCAGTGCTGTGAAATCTAGAGTATACTATTAGGACCGACCTTGAGAGTTAATAAAGGTTAAGTTTTACCTTTACTGATATGTCAATCTTACGTTGACTAGCCTATTTTTAGAAAACAAAGCCTTCTGCCCAATTCCTTGTCAGCATCTGTTAGTATGCTGGAGTAGAGAAATGTGGGTTTCAGCCCTAGTTCTGTGTTAACTAATGTTATATACCAGAGCAGATCTTGTAGTACATCTCAGCTTCCTTCTTATCTAAGATGAAAGATTGCACCCAATATTCTCTAAGGGACCATAGAGCTCTGTGCTCTAAAGCTTTCTGTCTGAAAAAAAGCAGTCAACAGTATGGACCTGTTACTAACTCATTCTTATGCATGCTGACAACAATAATAGAATAGATTTTATATGAGGAATAGTACCATCTGTGCCCATGTTTTAGTTTCTTTACCTTTCTGTTTCAGTTATAACTTAGGAAAGGGACTTTAGAGTCATTGTCAGTTTATCCTTGGGAGATTTTTGGCTGGCATTTCTTGGCTGGTTTGGTTACAGTTGAACATTGTATTGTTTCAGAAGGATCTTTGTACTTTGTTTAGAATCTTTATGATGTATAAAGTATGATGCAACTACATGGAAGTACTGCTGATAGTTCTGGTTTTCCTTCATTGGGAAGAAGTTTCATAAGATGGAAAAATTAAAATGATTAACAATAAGAAATAATTGTATATGAAGTTGTACTAAAGATTTTCTATCTCTTGGTCAATGAAAAAGAAAATTGGGAAAGAATTGGGAACAGAATCTAATGTTAGTATAGCATGAAATCATGGATAAGGTAGATAGACGTGTTCTTTTTCAACAGTTCTAGAATCCCAAACTAAGGAGTGTTTTCAGTCCACATTACGTTATCCTCATGTTTATGAAAAGTTAATTTAAAGTACTTTTGAACCCACTTTAAGTCCTTAACTTCACTTAAATTTTTAGGATGGTTGATTCATAGGAGATAACTATTGTTGGTATCTGAGGCTATTTTATAAGAATGTGATATTGGGCTGGGCGCAGTGACTCACGCCTATAATCCCAGCACTTTGGGAGGCCGAGGCGGGCGGATCACGAGGTCAGGAGATCGAGACCATCCTGGCTAACACGGTGAAACCCCGTCTCTACTAAAAATACAAAAAATTAGCCAGGCGTGGTGGTGGGCACCTGTCGTCCCAGCTACTCAGGAGGCTGAGGCAGGAGAATGGCATGAACCTGGGAGGCAGAGGTTGCAGTGAGCCGAGATCACGCCACTGCACTCCAGCCTGGGTAACAGAGCGAGACTCTGTCTCAAAATAAAATAAGATAAAATAAAAATAAATAAATAAAAAAGAATGAGATATTGATCTTTGGCCATTTTTGCAGTGTCAGCCGTGATATAAATGGAACCATTGGATTTTTCTGAGTAGCCAGTGATCTACATCATCTCCCAGATTGTAACTTAAATAACAAATGCCCTTTTTTCTTTTTCTCAATAAACACACAGTTGTGTACTCTATACATCTTTTATTATCCACATTTAGATATATTAAAAATAAAGCCCTCTTTCTACCATACACCGCTTAGATCCTACTGAATCTCGAAAGTTTACACAGGATAAGAGCATAATACGACCTGTTCCGCCATTAGTCTTTAACGTGAAGATTTTTGAAGGTGGTTCATTCTACCTTTGTTTTATAAATCATGCTAGCTCTTTATAGACTTAGGGTGATTTTACCAAATGAACTTAAATCTGTTCTTTCCCCCAACAGGGTTAATCATCTCATTTTAGTGGAACCTTGGGGCTTCCCTGAACGACCAGACCTTGCTGATCAAGACAGACCAATTCCAGTTTGGATCAGAGCCTTGGGAGCAGCATTGACTCCCTTTAACCCTTTAGCTGGCCTAAGGATTGCAGGACCCTTTGGTGAGTGCTTATGTTCTAGGAAAGCAAGATGTTTGTAGATTATCAGAAGAGAATTCACTATTGTTAGTCAAAATCTTAAAAAAAATCCTCAACCCTTACTTTTTCTCCTCTTCCTCTAATAAGCACCATGTCTTGCACAAAGATGAATGCAACTAGGCTCTTCTCCTCAAAGGGGACTCTTTATGTTGTAAACATTACAAATAATTAGCAAAGCAGAAAAGGAGGGAAATGCTGGGGATGAGGTTAGTTAGTCCTCAACACTCTAAAAAAAGCCAGACAAGCAGAGTGTTTTGGGGAGGATATAAGGACCTCTGCTAGTCCAGGGCCTGGGAGAAGTGTAGCATGTTGCCCTGTTGGCGAGCATTGGAGAACATTTGGCCAATTGATGATACCATTTGGTAGATCATAAAACCTGATTTGATTTACCCTGGGGGGGATAACAGGTACCACCACACTCACAGATTCTTCCCTTATCTATGTCAGAATGTTGGATAGATAAAGTTATTTTTTCCACAACATTTTAGGGACTCCTGATGTATATTTCTGGTCATATTTTGAGGCACCAATGTTTAGTCCCTGACTGACTTTTATTTGATTCTCAGCAGTTCTGTCTCAGCCCCATAGCCATGGGAATTTCCTTCCCTCATTGTCACAGATAATGATGTTCCGAACTTCTGCCTTTCCCCTGTACAACTTGTATGAGTTTGGAGTACTTTTAGTTGTAAGTAACTGAATACCCAAGTGGCTTAAATTATAAGGCCTTTTATTATTTCCTTAATAAGCAAACTGGAGATAGGTTTTAGCACTTGTTCTGGTTGCTTGCTCATTGATGTTAGGATTTGGGTCTGTGTCTGTGATTTTCTTGACTATTTTCCTCACGGGGGTTTGATGCCTGCCATGGCATTAAGCATCATCTCACAAATCAGCACTCTGATTTGTGAGCAAAAAGAAAGAAAAGCATGGAAAATGGTCCTTGTCTCCATAATGCTTTGTCAGGGAAGAAAGTCCTCTCTGGAAGGCTCCAGCCAACCTCCCCTTATGACTGCGCCCTCCTAGTCCTTCCACCAGCAAAGAAGAAATTTCTGTGACGGACCAATCATGATTTGTTCCCAGGGCCTGCTTTCCTGGGCGCATTGCTGCCTAATTGATACTATAGAAAAGATGTGTTCTAACCAGGTGCTGTGGCTCACACCTGTAATCCCAGCACTTTGGGAGGCTGAGGTGGGCAGATCACTTGAGGCCAGGGTTCGAGACCAGCCTGGCCAACATGACAAATCCCCGTCTCTACTAAAAATACAAAAAAACTAGCCAGGTATGGTGACACACACCTGTAATCCCAGCTACTCAGGAGAAGAGGCTGAGGCACAAGAATTACTCAAACCTGGGAGGTAGATGGAGGTTGTGGTGAGCCAAGATTGCGCCACTGTACTCCAGCCTGGGCAACAGTGCAAGACCCTGTCAAAAAAAAAAAAAAGAAAGAAAGAAAGGAAAGATGGGTTCTGTTAGCAAGAAAAGAGAAGAGGCATGGGGGTATGGAGGAGGGTGTGGGATTAACTGTCATGCAGGTTACTGTAAATGCTGTTCCCTTTTGCCCACCCCTGGCCCTCCTTGCCCTAGTGCCTTCTCTTTGGATGGGGAGAGCAGTGGGACTGCAGGACTTAGAGGAGGGTATGGGGGTTGAATTGGTGACCACACTTTACTCAGTGCTCTTACAGATGGCACATTTTGCCTACCTGCAGTCTTTCAGCTCTCCCCAGTAGAGCCACTCCTCAGTATGATCCTCCTCTGGTAAACTACTTAAGAGCTTCGTTTAATCTTTATAACCCTGAAATAGAAATAGATTTTACTAGATCACAGGTACACAAATAACAATTATGGGAAAAATAAAGTATGAAGAGAAGTTAGGAGAAGTGATGGGCAAGGGAGGACACCTAGGAGAGGCTCTTTAAAGCCATGCCCTCAGCCTCCCATTATTGCTTGCACTTGGGGGTGGGAAGGTGATGTAGAATCAACTGCATGAGAGAATTTCTTGGTGGAGCTGTGTAATTCATCACAGATGGGAAGAGAGGGCCAGTAGAGAAGTAAAGCCTTGCTGGAGTTAATGGGGTAGTGGTACCAGAAAGGGAGACCAGTCAGTCTCTGGGGCCTCAGAATGGAAAAATGTGACTAGAGGAAAGCTTCTGCTCTTCATCCTCTTTCCCTTGTGGGCCTTGCCCTGGGCTTTTTCTTTTTTTCTTTTCTTTTTTTTTTTTTTTTGAGACAGAGTCTTGCTCTGTCGCCCAGGCTGGAGTGCAGTGGCGCGATCTCTGCTCACTGCAAGCTCTGCCTCCTGGGTTCATTCCATTCTCCTGCCTCAGCCTCCCGAGTAGCTGGGACTACAGGCGCCTGCCACCACGCCCGGCTAATTTTTGTATTTTTAGTAGAGACAGGGTTTCACTGTGTTAGCCAGGAAGGTCTTGATCTCCTGACCTCGTGATCCGCCTGCCTCGGCCTCCCAAAGTTCTAGGATTACAGGCGTGAGCCACCGCGCCCAGCCTTTTTTTTTTTTTTTTTTTTTTTTTGAGACGGAGTCTCACTCTGTCACCCAGGCTAGAGTGCAGTGGCGCGATCTTGGCTCACTGCAACCTCCACCTCCCAGGTTCAAGTGATTCTCCTGCCTCAGCCTCCTGAGTAGCTGGGATTACAGGTGCACGCCCGGCTAATTTTTGTATTTTCAGTACAAATACAAAATGGGGGTTTCACCATGTTGGTTAGGCTGGTCTCAAACTCCTGACCTTGTGATCCGCCCGCCTCGGCCTCCCAAAGTGCTGGGATTACAGGCGTGAGCCACTGCTCCTGGGCGCCCTTGGCTTTTTCTAGAGCGGGGCTGTGTGCACCACCAGGGATAACCTTAGCAGGGGGTCTTGCTAGGGTCCTAAGAAAAAACTGAATTTATTTTCACACATAAATAATTATATATACTAGTTTACTTCATTTGGATGTTAATGTGTTGTAATTATGGAAGAAATACAAGTTAATACATTAATTTTATGTATGAGCTACTCACTGGCCACATTTAAAGAATTTATTTACCTACAAAAGTGCCTTCTAACTTACATGTTTTTGAGGCCCTAAAGCACATCTGCAAGTCAAAATACAATACTCTTTAATTCTTATATTAATATTTCCTTGGGGATCTTTAGGAGGACAGCTATCAGAATGTGTGCTTTTCACCACCTACAATATATATTTGAATACATATATATGTGTGTGTGCACATAACATTCATTACACAGACAAGCACTAAAACTTTCTATATTATTTAGTTGATAAGTTAATTATAATTTAAAACATGCATTTTTTAAATTTCCTGTTAAATAGGTTTAAGTCTAGTGCAGCGTTTAAGGCCTGATTTCAAACGGAAGTATTCTTCAATGTTCGAAGACGATACTGTGACAGAATACATCTACCACTGTAATGTACAGACTCCAAGGTGAGGGTTAGGTTTCTCAATTCACTGTGTGTGTGTGTTTTAGACTATTTTTTTTTTTTTTAAATATTTGTTTATTTATTTGAGTTGGAGTTTTGCTCTTGTCGCCCAGGGTGAAGGGCCATGGCTTCATTTTGGCTCACTGCAACGTCTGCGTCCCGTGTTCAAGCGATTCTCCTGCCTTAGCCTCCGAAGTAGCTGGGATTACAGGCATGCGCTGCCACGCCCAGCTAATTTTTTTGTATTTTTATTAGAGACGGGGTTTCTCCATGTAGGTCAGGCTGGTCTTGAACTTCTGACCCCAGGTGATCCGCCCACCTCGGCCTCCCAAAGTGGCATGAGCCACCATTCCCGGCCTTTTTTTAAAAATATATCAGTGTTCCAGAAGATTTTTGTCAGTAGTTAAATTACTGAATTTAAAAGGACATGTGTCTAATACATTTTATTTTACTCATCTATTCTTAGAGTACCCACTGTATAAAACATTGTGCTGAGTTCTGATGGCAGATTAAAAAGTGAGATGTTCACTCTTCGCTCAAAGTTCTTATGAATAAGTTATAGAAGTCTTGGTCTTGGGCATCTCCAAGAGACGGTTTGAGTTGAGAGTTGAAGAATTTCACATGAAGTATTTCCCAAACTGAGTATGAATGTTTCATCAAAAAAAGAAAAAAGGGTGCCAGATTAAACAAAAGTAAATGGGTGTCTGTACTATGAATTATCCTTTACTATACCGAAGGGTATTAAATTTCCCAAGTGAATGGGAGACGCTGTGTAGTATTTTTCAAGTCCATTTGATGATTGTACTCCTGAACAACTCTAAACATCTGTAGGTCAGCCTTAGAAATGCAGCTGCAGAGGGTGAGGCGGAAGTGAGGGATTCTGCATGTGTTTTGACAGTGATTAGAAGGAGAGAGACAGAATGGGGCATAGTAGCAGAGGGAGCAAGAGGGCCAAATGTATTTTTTACAAATACTACTTATGGATGTTGGGTGAAAAGTACTAGTAGAGAAAACACAGCCTGACGACAGTGGTGAACTAGGAGGAGGCCAAACGATAAGGCCCTAGAGTTTCTAGGAGGAGCAACAAGAATAGAGTGCAAAGGTGAGAGCTACAGTTCTCATGCTATGTCATGTACTGAAATTATTGGGGGTGCTTGTTAAAATGTGACTCCTGAGGCTAATTTCTAAGACTGAGACTAGCATTTCTGGGCTGCATCTCTAACAAATACTCTGGTGATTCTGCATAGGTGGGTCATGGAGCACACTTTTAAGACAGAGAAGTGGTATCTCATCCTTTCTAAGACTGAGGTTTGGATGAAAGGCTAAGAGGGCAGATGCAGAGGCGGCCTCCCTCCCTTTTATTTCCTCCCTCGCTTTTGGCAGATAATATGTACACCTACTTTATTAAAAAGATTGAGGCCATGGTAGCTATTTATAGGTGTAGCTGTAGCCTCAGTCTTTTTAATAAAGTAGGTTAGAGGTTCTCTGCCAAGAGTGAAGGAGGCTAGAGGTTCAAGGTCCTCAAGAGATTGAGGTTTTGTGACTTGCTAGGCAGTCAGATCTTGTGGATTAGGTGAACACATTGATTGACTTGCTCCAACAGCGGTTTTTAGGGGTCTGCCCCAGGAACATCATTCCTTTTCCTGCATGGTCTAAGTTTTACTCTTCACGTCCTCTTATTTCATGATTACATGTGTTCATGTAGTCCTAGTTTGTTACCTTTCTTGTGGTGAGACTTGAATTCTTCATAGAAGGCAAGTTAGAACTTTGTCTAGTTCTGTAAGAATAGCAGAAGTGGCCAGGTGTGGTGACTCACGCCTGTAATCCCAGCACTTTGGGAGACCGAGGTGGGCGGATCACAAGGTCAGGAGTTTGAGACCAGCCTGACCAACATGGTGAAACCCCATCTCTACTGAAAATACAAAATTTAGTTGTGCGTGCCTCTAATCCCAGCTACTCAGGAGGCTGGGGCAGGAAAATTGCTTGAACCCGGGAGGCAGAGGTTGCAGTGAGCCAAGATTGTGTAGCTGCACTCCAGCCTAGGCAACAGAGCGAGACTCCATCTCAAAAAAAAAAAAAAAATAAAATAAAAAAATAGCAGAAGTGACAACAAATAGACCTATCCTGAGAGTTTGCAAGAATATATTATCTGAGTTTCTTAACTTGGTAATGGTTTTGGCATTGCAGGTGAAATGCTGGTGCCATGAACCTGGGGATAAGCTACCTTCTACATCAGTTTAAATAAGGGTGAAAAAACATATTTTTAACTATCTCCACAGTAAATAATGTAATGATAGAAAATTAAGGTTGTACATTTTGGTTTACAGGAAAACTTTTTAAAAAATCAGCTAAAGTATACAGCAGCCTTGCTTATCTAACAGTGATCTGTGAGATTTGTTCCTTACACTATCTCATAAATTATTGTCTATTTAAGCTGAGGTTTTTCTTAAGTGCTGGAAAAGCTAAATATGAATGTGTTTTGATAGAAGTGACAGTGCAATGCATACTCATTCCCAAAAATCATACATTGTGATTTTCTCCTTGCCGTTAAAGTGGTGAGACAGCTTTCAAGAATATGACTATTCCTTATGGATGGGCAAAAAGGCCAATGCTCCAGCGAATTGGTAAAATGCACCCTGACATTCCAGTTTCAGTGATCTTTGGCGCCCGCTCCTGCATAGATGGCAATTCTGGCACCAGCATCCAGTCATTACGACCACATTCATATGTGAAGACAATAGTAAGTGTGTGACTTGATTTGGGTTTTTAGGTATGAGTGAAGTCTGTTTTATTACCTCCTTTAAAAGAGGTTTTAGGTCATCCTGGTGTTACAGGTCATCTAAGCTATACCTGCAGCCTCAGTCAGGGACCTGATACCACATGTGTTGGGTGCAGGGTTTGGCCTGCATACATCTTCATGTCCAAACCATGAACCACCTTTCTGAGTGACTTTTCCTGTCCCTAGAGCCACAGCATTAAGAGAGATGGACAGAGGGACTGGTCCAGTAGCTCTTAAAGTAATTCCCACCTCACAAGGCAGCACAGTCTCACTTTTTTCAGTTTCTCTATTGGCACTTTTATTAGTGGTCAATTTAGTGTTTTTTGCGTATTAAAATTGTATGTAGATTCAATTCAGTAGATTTTTCTATTCTCAGATCCTTTTAATGGATATACTTAATAGTCACTATAGATTATTGTTATTTTTTATCATGTGTTTTATTTAAATATAGTGGCTCTCACTTTTATTACTAAGTGTCTTTGCTTATATATCATTGTGTTTTATTAAATGCTTTTACTCACTAACCACCTGAATGCTTTTCCTTATCCAGGCTATTCTTGGGGCAGGACATTATGTATATGCAGATCAACCAGAAGAATTCAACCAGAAAGTAAAGGAGATCTGCGACACTGTGGACTGAACACACTGAAGCTCTGATGGGAAAACCTGGTTACTGATACAGTTGTTCAGCAATAATTCATAGTATATGCTGAAGAGTAATGAATACAACACAAGAACCAGGCAGACTTCTTGACTATACTTTGCACATGTTTTCTTTAGGAATTCACTCGCACATTTAAACCAGTTAGTGCCTTCTAGAAGAATGGCTTTCCTTTCTCCTACACAAAATTAAAATATACAAGTCTCTAAATTTAATACCTTTAAATAAAAGGTTATTTGTCCCTCTCATGTACTGAAAAACTAATTTTTCAGCTGAAAAATTTTTAATCTAATTTTGCTAATCAGTTACTTTTTATATTGCAATCTATATTGCCAATTTAGGAAGTGATTTCTGAGTCTCTTACACTGTAAAGGTGCACTTTATTTTCTTTGTCTTCCCCATCATGTATTTATTGTGTCTGATGACTGATATTAATCTAAATTCAATGTGTTTTTATGTAAAAAAATCTGTCAGTTGTTTAGAATATTTCACTTTGTTTTTGAAATGGAGCGACAAGGCAGAGTTTTGGTTAAAGGATGGGAGTTGATCACTATCATTACTTTTTCTAGTTTACCTCTTTTTTATATTTAAGGCTGCTAAGCCATGTTCAGCATTTTAAATGTGGTCTATCCTGACATACACAGTGTATAACAACATAACTCCTTGGAACCTCCTATGTGTGGTATGATTCTACACTTCCAAGGAACATGACTTCAATACTTCAGTGATTCAGGTACTGAAAAGCCTTAGCTAAAAGGCTGTTCTTTGTTTCTCCCTTTCATACTATTCTTTTCCATGACCCAGGATACAGCAAATGAAACAAATTTCTTCACTTAAGGGGATATTAAGACTGTTACTTCCTAGTAAGCTGAGTAATGTCATATTTTTATTAACATCTAACTTTTGTAGATGGGTGCTAAAAATGCATACATTTTAACCACTAAAATAGAAAAACAGGTGGTGCTATTATGTCTCATGGCACCAGAAATGAGCTAGCACTTGGGTTTGTTGTTGTTGTTGTTTATTAAGAGTATTGTGTTAATTAAATCATTACATACTTGAAGTTATATTACAAAAATTCTAAAAGGTTGATTGAACTATTTTTTTAGGAACTACCATCAAGTGTAGAATTTTCTTGCAGTTTTAAAATGAGGAAAACTTCTTTGAAACTGTGAAAAAGCTCCATGTGGTAACTGGCTGCTGAGAAAACCCTTCACCAAAAAAATAAATAAAAATTGAATAGGATTGTCATCAAGAAGGCATCTTTGGCTAACATTGCTTGTCCAGGAGAAAGGTAGCTATGTAAATAAAAACAGTGAACTAGAGCAAATAGTGGTTTAATGGCTTTGTTATTGCATTTTAAAAATGGTTAATTAGGGAATTTGTAGTTGTTAGGAAATGTAAGGTTGTATCACTGTTGATTAACTGCCAGAAAGACTGAATGTTCTGTTTTCAACATTTCTCCCCTACAAAAGAATAGACAAATTATACTGAAGCATGATATAAACATCTTCCCAATGAACAATTTGTCTCACTTGTCAGATTAACTAGGTTAGTGTAGGAAGGCAGCATGAGCGCCAAGATGTATTGTCTGATTTCTCTACCTTAAGAACAATAATAGTCTTTTTTTTTTTTTTTGAAATGGAGTCTCGCTCTGTCGCCCAGGCTGGAGTGCAGTGGCACAATCTTGGCTCACTGCACGCTCCGCCTCCCAGGTTCACGCCATTCTCCTGCCTCACCCTCCCAAGTAGCTGGGACTACAGGCACCCGCCACCACCACGCCCAGCTAATTTTTTTTGTATTTTTAATAGAGACGGGGTTTCACCGTGTTAGCCAGGATGGTCTCGATCTCCTGACCTTGTAATCCACCCGCCTTGGCCTCCCAAAGTGCTGGAATTACAGGCTCACTGAGCCACCGTGCCCAGCCAATAATAGTCTTTTTAGTTAGTATCTTGGATGGCCAAGTTTCAAACCTGTATGTGGTACAAATAATTTGGGTAATATTTTTGTTTTTTTGTTTTATACACTCTCTAATCTCAATTATCCTTTGCTGGGAGAATGACAGGTTTCACTTATACAGGAAGGTTTTTGCACAGGAAATTTGGTCCCAGCCCTTGGAAGGAAGAAGTTCCTTGGTTTACTTAATGAATGGAGTTTCTGGCCACAGATGTACCAAGTGATTCAAGAAAAAGATACACCCGAATATCAAGTGATACTTTATTTTCCTACAGACTGAATTTGCTTTATATGAAAGATGTTGTAACTCTTTTTAAAGTTAGATTTTACCCTGAGGTGTAGTATATGTAATTTTGTGAAGATTGAGCTAGAAGGGAAGTTCACAATCCTCACATTTAAAAAAATATAATGGGTGCTAAATGTTTTCTTAAAAATCTATTACAGCATTTGATCTTTGCCTACTTATGCACAGCGTACTTTTATTTTACAGAATAAATTTTCCTGTGATAGTCACTATAAGACAGCTGTGTATTTTCTTAAGTCTTTTGTATGGACCAGTCTCTGTATAATAGTTAACTACAGGACCATGGATCCAGTGAATGTTCAGTAAATGCTGCTGCTGTTCTTAGGGAAGGCTACTCTGGGTGTTGTGGCTGCCATACATGGCTTTACCTGTGTCCATGCATTCCCTTGAGATGATTTCTGTTTTCTTCTTTTTTTTTCTAAGACTAATATTCCAACAAAAAAGTTGCCTAAAGTTGGTTTTAGAATATGATTTGCAGAACACTTTTGAAATGTCTTCATTCATATATATAATATATATTTATATTTAAAGGGCCATACCTGATTTCAATAAAACAAGAAGTTTTTCCTTATACCAAGGTACTGGAAAGAATAAACAAAAATAGCTGGGAGATGCCTAGAAAGGAACAATGTGGAAGGAGGGATAACTCTATTAAATATTATAATGTTTACAATATGAGAAAGTCTAGGAATTTAGTACATGATAAAGGAAGCATCTCATTCAGAGAAAAAGGCTTTAAAAATGGTGTTGAGACAAGTGTGGTTAACCATCTGGAAAAAAAATAAAATTGAATCGATTTCTCACAGGGTACACAGGACAAAATCTGAATAGATCAAAGACCCAGTGTTTAAAATGAAACCCTCTTTCTAACTAGAAGAAAACATAGGTGAATTGTTGTATAATCTGACAGAAAAACTTTCTTAGGACTGAAAATTTAGAAGCAATAAAAAGAAAAGTCTATAGAAGAATTTTCAGCCAGATGCAGTGGCTCATCCCTGTAATTCCAGCATTTTGAGAGGCTGAGGCAGAAGGACTGCTTGAGACCAGGAATTCAGAACCAACCTGGGCAACCTAGTAGGACTGGCTCTACAAAAAAAAAAATTTTAAGTACCTGGGCTGGGTTCCACCTGCTTGGGAGGCTGAGGTGGGAGGACTGTGAGCCCAGGAGTTTGAGGATGCAGTAAGCCACTGCACTTCAGCCTGGGTGACAGAGAAGAAGAAAGATTTTTTTGGATAGCTGAAAATATTTGCAGCATTTATCACAGAGGGCTAATTGTAGCCCCACATATGAAGAATTTTAAACTTTGAGAAGAACCTGAAGATTAGGCAAAAAGATATGAACAGTTCACAGAAAATAAAATGCAAATGGCCTTTAAACATATGAGGATATGCGTAAAAAGACAAATGCAAAATAAAATAAAATAATGGAAATACCTTTCTTACCTGTCAGATTGGGGAAAATCCAAGTTAGGCAATGCACTCTGTTGAGTCAGTAGGGAAACAGGCACTCCAAAAAGTACAAATCCCTATGGATGGTATTCGTTAACTGGCAAAATTAAACGAGTATATCCTTCAACCTGGCAGACCCAGTTCTAAGAATCCATATGAGATGCACTTGGAAGAATATGAAATGGTATATGCACAAAGGTCTTGATTACAGCACTGTTTCTAATGGCTACAGACTGGAAGCCAACCAAATCTCCATTGATAGGGAATTGATGGAAGGAACTAGGGTATATTTATACAATGGAATACTACACAGCTGTAGAAAGGACTGTGAACTATTTTTGTACTTCTGGTCTGGAGAAATCTCCAGAATATAGGAAATGAAAAATGTAAAGTACAGAAGAGAATGTATGGTGTGCTATCTGTTGTATAACGAAGAGACAAATGGAAAAAATATATATGTATTTGCTTTTCTTGTAAAGCAATAGAAGGATTAGTTATACCAATAACTACTAAAATAATCCCCTTATTAGTGGTGGTAGGGAGCTAGACAAGGATGGCAACTATTTCTGTATCTTACATACCTTTTACTTTGAGGCCCTGTCAATGTTTTATATAATAAACATTTTTTGAAAAGGCAACTCTTAAAACTAAAACAAACTTAACAGTCTGTCAAGTTCGTGGTATAGACCCACAGAAGAATTACTTCAAGTGACTTGAAAGCCTAGTATTTTGTCTATACTTTGCTAGTGAAATATATCCTATAGACCAAACAACCACAAATAAATCTTAAACTGCATTCAATAGTTTTTTGTTTTTCTTTTTTAGCAATGATATTGGTAGTATCATTTGAGTATTTATATGTGTTAAAGCAAATATTTACTTGTGTCATTGGAATCAAGGGCCAAGATTTTCAGCGGAGGAGAAAAGAGACACAAGAATATAATAAAGAATCATGATTTTATTTCTGAAAAACACATATTGCATAGCTTTGTTCACTGAAAAGGCCTAGAAATAATCACAGCTCAATAGTAAGACCCACCCTCGCACCCAGACTGTTCCACTAAAAGGGGGCAGACAAAGGACAAGATGAGTCTGGAATATTTTGTGTCAGCAGTCAGAGTAAGGTTGTGTCAAAAGGACCCAGGAGCTAACCTGAAGGGGTTTCCATTGGCCAAAGATGGGTTAATGTGAGCATCGGAAAGAGTAATGGGTTGAAACATGAGATCATGATGCTATTTAAAAAACTAATTGGTCACTTTTGGAGGTTACTAGGGCACCAATTCAATATTTTGAAAATTGCTCACGGGAAAAATGAATCATTTATCCCAACTTCTTTGTGTATCACATTACCCTGATAAGGGAAACTTCTTCATGTAAGAATCATAGGTAAATAGGAGAGGAATGATAAGATTAGGAAATCACCATTTTGCCATCTCTAATGAAGTAACAGATCCAGCTGCTAAAAGCATGAAATAAAAAGTTGATGAGAAGCATTTATTGGATGGCTCAGGTTCATAACATCTGAACCCGATGTTCAATCTTAGTATTACTGAAAAAGGAACAATGAGACATGCTTCTGTTATGTTGCAATAGCAAGAACCCAACATACCATGTTGAATTATGATGAATTACTGCCTAAAACAAATGAAATTGAACCTGAATCTAATCAAGCCTCTACATCTAATGATAAATAAAAACACACAGGATATTGAAAAGCACATTAATATGCTAAATCTAGAATCCCTCCCATGGGAAATTCCATGGGACAAAAATTCCAGTTTCTTCAACAAATTGAAGCTGCAAAATAAAAGTGTTAGTAGGACTTTAAGACTTAGAGAAACTTAAAGGATCTTGTTTGGATACTTATTTGACCTTGTTTGGATACTTTATAAAAAGACATTTTTGAAGCAATTAGAGAAGAGTTTATAATGGACTGAGTATCAGATGATATTAAAGAATTATTAATTTTGTTGGGTGAAAGTATAGTGACTTTTATTTAAAAAAAAAACAAAAAACAAAAAAAACCTTACCTTTAGAGGTACATGGTGTAGTATTCATGGTTGAGATTTTAACTAGGATTTACCTGGAAATACTCCAGGAGAAAAAGTCAGTTGTCAGAAAATAGATAAAATGAGCAGAATGTTATGTTGATGCTGGGTGACAGACACATAGGAGCTTATGTAGGGTCTATTCTATTTCCTCTACTTTTATACATGTTTAGAATTTCCATAGTAGAAATTTAAAGAATAAAAAATAGGAAAAGAGATTGGATAAAGCCAGTATGGATAACTCTTTCTAGGCATAAAGAAAATAGAAAGTAGGTAATAGCTGGAGGGAACCCTTGTGAATAACCCAGCAGAAAGAGGGGGAAAACATGGTGCAAGCGAGCACGGTTGGGGTGATGTATCAGCAAGGCTAAGGGCAAATAGGAACTCTCATATACTGTCAGTGGGCTGTAATAGGTACAACCCCTTTGACAAGTCTTTTCACAGTACTGTATATGGCAAAATTGTAAGTGCTTCACAACAGCAATTTTGTTTCCAAGTTTCTATCCCACAGATACGCCAGCTTCAATATGCAAAGGCATCCACAAGATGTTCATTGCAATATGGTAATATTAG